GACCCAGGAAATCCAGGGGTAAGGGAGGACTGTGCTGTCACATTGTAGGGAGAGCAACTAGGGTCACATAACAATGTGTGTATAAATTTTTGTATGAGAAACTGACTTGAACTGTAAATCTTCACTTAAAGCACAACAAAAAGTAAAAAAACCAGAAAGGTAGCAGATACCAGAGAACTTCCTAAGAAACAAACAGCTTCAAAGACCTGGGCGACAACTTTTGTCTAGAATGGTTGTCCACTACAAGGAGTTTTGAATACTTACGAGAGAAAGACTGGAACATACTGCTCCTGCTTCTCGTAAACAATAGGAATCCCCTAACTGAATATGAATAAAGGAATGTCATCTCACTACTCATTTTCTTCTATAAAATGTAGTTAACAGTTTACTTTTTCATGAAAAGAGTTTGATATTTTGCTCCTATAATTAGTAAAATTGCATCGTGCCATTAAGTAAAATTTAAAAGAGAAGTTTTTACTCCAAACACTCACCACTCATCTGTCAGTTTATTGTACTCATGTGGCTTACGTGTTGCTATGATGCTGGAAGCCATGCCATCAGTATTTCAAATACCAGCAGGGTAACCCACTGTGAATAGGTTTCAACAGAACTTCCAGATTAAGACAGACTAGGAAGAAAATCCTAGTGATCTACTTCCAAAAATCGTCCAGTGAAAACTCTATAGATCACAACAGAACATTGCATGATATAGTGCGGGGAGATGAGCCCCCTAGGTTGGAAGGCACTACACAAAAGCCACAACAGTGGACTCACATATAACAACGATCACAAAAACGGCACAGGATGGGCAACGTTTTGTTCTGCTGTATGTAAGGTTGCTGTAAGTCAGAGCCAGCTAAGAACAATAACAACCCCCAAAACACTTGTTTTCATTTCTTCCAGGTCAACCTAAGGCTGCTGATTAATAAGAATGCTTACTCTGTGCCAGGAATTGGCTAAATATTTTACATATCTTATTTCATCAAATGCACACAATCATCTTATGAAGAAGATTCTATTGTTATCTCCAATTTACAGATAAGGAAACAGGCCTGGAGGCATTAAGAAATTTGCCGAAGTTTCCCAGTCCCTACATGTCCAAGCTCTTAAGTATCCAGGATGGTACTGTGATAAACAATCTCCATGACTGACCGTTTGAATCTTGATGGAGAACCTAGTAGGTACAGGCATGGTACCAGTGAGAACGTTAAATATTCCTTGAGGGTTAGCTATTAATTACAATGTGAGGCACTTTTCCTCTGTTACAGGTAATGCCCACTGACAGTCTCATGTAATTATGAGGACAGCAATGCATTCTTTACATGGTCACTCTCCCCGCTGCACATACACACCCTGAGAGATGCAGAGAGGCAGGGAGGAATCAGTAACACTCTCTCCAAATATCTGAGGCAGGCCCAAGGTCTCCATGGCAAGCACCGCCCTTCTGCACACTCTGCTCTTTAGAGCTGGTTGGCACTCTCACTGATTGGATAGCCCCAGGTGAGAAGACTTTCTGAGGAGTTAACTGCCAGGCAGGTGGTTTACCTGCATTTCAGCTCCTGTTGGAGCTTGAGGGACTTACTTGTGTCCTTTTGGGAAAGACAGTAAAGTTGGCAAACACTCCTTGCCATCACAACTGCCCAGTTCTCAATGGCTTCCAAGTTTTGATGAAATAGGTGCTTCGAAATGGTACCTACTGGATTCTGTGAAACTGAGAGAACCATGTTGGATGGTAACTTGGCTCTATTTGTCAAGAGAATCAGAAGCACTTCCACTCAGTAACCTAGTGGTCCCACCTCTGAGAAGGTTTAGAAAGGAGATAATCCATAACCAGGCAAGATAACTATAAGTGAAGATATTTGTGCCACATATTATAGAGGGAAAAGCTAGAAACCAACTGTGCCCCCAAATGGGGGAGAGGTTAAATAAATCCCCTCAATAGAATACCAAGCAACCAGCAGACGGTAATCATGAAAACCGTATTAACAACATGGAAAAGACATTGTTAACCATTAATGGGAAAAGCAGAATAAAAACTGTACCTTTGCTAGGATTACAAGTATAAAACAAAGCACTCGTATGCTTATGAACAAGAGCTGGAAGAGAGCCTGGAAACTTCAAAACAGTTTGATTTTAAGAGGGTGAATTTTCTTTCTTTGATTTCATTAGTATTATTGTAATGCTAATTATGCACTTACAAAATAGAAAAAAAGAACATTTTAATTTAACGACTACTAAGATTCCACGAAACTGGTACAGTCTGGGTCTGGTGCAAATTTGCAACAACAGGCTACACAATCCATGTGATCACTGCAGGATCACAAATGGTTTTTGGATAATGAGTAGCCTAGCTGACTGCAGTATGGTAGCTTGACGTTTGGGGAATTTCTCTCTCCCTAAAAGTAGAGAAAGGAGTGCTGTCTTTTTTCAAAGCTTTTTTTGGGAGGCAGTTTTAATGAGGATATGTCAGACCATCCACATCAAGTCCCCAAAGTCCCTACTGTCTCTAGCAGAGAGCCATCCTGGGGTGGGTGGGCCAGCAGAATCAACAATGTGATTGTGCAACTGAACCTAGCCCAAGACAGTGGTTTCACTTGAGAAGTGGTCTTGGTGAAGATTCAGAGCCACGTTGCTTAGTGAGATGTTAAAACAGTAACGTGTCCATGAAACGCATAAACGCTGTCAATTGTTAGGTGACTCTGGGAAAACAATTTCACAATATGTAACAAGTCTAAGGTCCACATGCTCAGACCCAGTAATATCACTTCTGGGAGTCTATCCCAAGGCAACAATCCAGAATTCAGAAAGAAGAAAAACAGCAGAAAAATAGTCTTCAAAGCATTATTTGTAGTACTGAAAACAAGCTAAACGTACAACTGTAACAAGTTGAATTACAAGTTGCTCCATTACATAGACAATAAAAATAATACCTGGATTGTGTTTGTAAAAAACTTAGACATACTTACTATGTTAAGTGAGAAAAGGAGAATATGAAAGAGTTATATATGTGCCATGATTGCATTATGAAAGGACAAGTAATATATAAAAGAATCTGTTTCACATTAGGGGTGGTGATCTTTGAGTGAGAGACTTTCTTTCCAACATTTGGGTGGTATATGAGTAATAGTAACTCATTTTTTCCTTTCTCTATTTTAATTTTTTTTTAAATTAAAGAACACATACTACTTTTGTAAAGAAAATACACTCTAAAGTAGGTTAAGTTAAAAACACAACCACGAATTTATGGGAAATCTATCAGAAGAGGTCTGGTAGAAATGTCTTTCTTCTGATGATTATACCACATTCCTCTGCTTCAACAAGAACTAATTAAGAACTAGGACTCAAACCATAAAAAGAAATTGTTTCAGAGACTGGAATAAACTCATAATGGCCTCAATATCAAGTGACAAGGGATTAAACTGAATTGAATTAAGAGTTTATTTCCATCTTTGTAAACTGTCCAATTTACCTAATTATTATTAGTATCAGTTTCCTCAATCTAAGGACCCCTGGCGGCTCAGCTGTGAAAGCACTTAGCTGCTAACTAAAAGGTCAGCAGTTTGAACCTATCAGCTGCTCGGCAGGAGCAAGATGTGCCAGTCTGCTTCCATAAAGATTACAGCCTTGGAAACTCTATGGGGCAGTTCTACTCTGTCCTATAGGGTCACTATGAGTTAGACTTGATTCGACAGCAGTGGTTTTGGTTTTCTGGTTTTCCTCCATCTTTACAATGAGGAAATTGGATAAGATAATCTTGAAAAACCTTTGCAAGTCAAGGAATCTAGGATTCTAATAGATTAGGACAACTAATGAAATTTAGTTTAAAAAACAAAATAAACAAAAAAACCACCCAATTTACTTAAAGTGATCTCTGCTATCTTTCTACACTAGTTGTTTCTGCACTTCTTATAAACAATCTCAATTAATCCTCATAGACCTGTGACCCATAACTTAGCTTTTAAGAACAGTTTAAAAAGAGGTCAACACTAAAAACATCCCTTTCAAAACCAGAGTGATTCTCCTTCAGCTAGGTAGTGGGCACAGTGAACCATAATTTTACACAGGAAAATTACATAGAAAAATAATCCAAATTTTACATAGAAAATACCTATGTTTTTTAAATATCTTCAAGGAGATACAGCAATAAAGTACTATACATATATGAGGTACAGAACGGAAGTATTTCTAGTCTAACCTTCCAGCACACTCAGAAATTCCCTTGCCAACATCTCTTGACAGGTAACGCTCTCCCTTGTATGAAATACCTCTGGGGGTAGGGGGAGGACTCAGTGTTTCAGAGTTGGTAGGTTAGGGAAATTAGGACTCCTTAGGAAAGCTGAGACATATGGTCAAGTGCCTTACTACGGATATTTTCAAACAAACAAAAGTAAAGGAACAGTTCCCCCATCATCTCTAGCTGTGTCCCTTACTCATGGTCTGCCAACCTAGAAGCAACCTAAGGTCTCTGGCTTGTCCCCAGCCTCTTACACTGAGGCCACCAGACCTGCACCGAATGCCCCAGGAGCAAAGTGGTGTCTGGAGATGCAGAGGCTGGCAGTTGGCTCTCGGGTCCAGAGCCAGTAGGGCTGGGTGCAGCCTGGGTAGTGTGGGTCCAACTGTTGACTCATGGCAAGTAACTTGTTAAGTCACATCTCTTGAACACTTTTAGACTTACAGCTGGCAAGGCAGGTCACCCACATCCTGTGTCATTATATTTTCCCTAAACTAAATACAGGACTTGACATTTACTGCACTAAATTGTGTCTTGTTGGTTCCTACCAATATTTCCAGCCTGGGAAGTCCGGGTTCTGTCACCTGACAGTTACTACTCCACCCAGCTCTACGTGAGCTTTCTATAAAAGGAATCCTTCAAATACCGAGAAAACAAAGGACAGAGTCATGGGAAACCTGAATGAGAAAATGAAAAAGAAAACTGCATCACAGAATCGTTCTTCTGCATAGTCAAAGGAGACACGGAAGATGCATCCACGGCTACTGACCTGCCCCCTGCTTCAACAGCTCAGCTGCTGAGTTGGCAGCTGTTTGGGGAGAATTTTCTGCCATTTCCTCCAATGGATCTGCAGGAAGGAGCAAGAAAACACAGAGATGAGGCCTGCTGACCGACCAAGAATCCTCATGGCAAAGCTAGCCAACTTTATCACAGAACTCCTAGACAGTGACATGCACTGATTTTATAAAGTTGAAAGATTCTCTTAGGAACAATGTAGTCTATAGAAGTTATAATCACATTTCTGAACCAAAATAGGGATGACATGGTCCAACAAAATATCTCTGTGACCTCTGAATTTATTTATATGAGTAATTCAACACATTTTAAAAGATAAATCACATTTACTCATATTTTTAATTATCTTTATGGAAAATAATAAAATTATGGAAATTGGGACTAAGTCGACTGGACAGCACCAGGTTTGGTTGGGTTTTTTGGTAGGAAAGCTGGGACATACAGTGAAATTTTTTATTATAGACATTTTCAAACAATAGTAAAGAGAACAGTTCCCCCATCACCCCAGTTAAAAATATTGACATTTTGCCGATTTTGTAGACTCAAAAATATTAAAATGTAAATGACCTTGGAGGTCTCTTAGGTCCGAGTGTGTTTTTTTTCTTTTTAATGTACTTTAGATGAAGGTTTACAGAACAAATAGTTTCTCATTAAACAGTCAGTACACATACTGTTTCATGACATTGGTTAACAACCCCATGACATGTCAACACTCTCCCTTCTTGACCTTGGAGTGTGTTATATTTTTAGCTATACTCTTTACTCCACAGAAACCTTTCACCAAAGTCCGTGATATGTACAGGAGATCAGAGGATGCCTGGGTGCAGCGGGGCCTCCTCTTTTCTCCATCACTTGGGTAAATATTCTGCTTTTTCTTGGGTTTACCCACAGAGTACATGGTAGAAAAAAGCTTCAGGTTTGTTTTTTTCTCAATGGATCTTTTTAGATTCCTGAAACCAGTATGCTTTTAGCAACTGTGGATGATGTTATATGGAGAGCTAAAGGCAGTGGTAAGTTCCTAACATCCTTACCTCTGTCTGGAATGAGCAGCTTGCAGGGCAAAGCCAAGGGGGTGATTGAATGTTGATACACCAGAGCGGTCAGACTCCCTGCAGAAGGAATGAACAGAAAAAAGAGAGTTAGCAACAGCTCTGAATGCATGTCATAAACAGTGTATCAGCTTTGCCAAGAAATATCAAACACCATAGGGTTACCACAGTACTTGGATTCCTTCCCTATTCTTATCAAGTGTTTTTAAAAATAAAAAAGAGAAACATAAAAAAATGATGTTTGTTTAGGAGATCCTGGGAAAGGTCACTATACCAAGAGTTAGTGACTGTCAATTCCAAACTCTTCTCCTTGAAAGGTTTTCCAGAGTGTTTACCAGCAACATAGGCGCACAGTGATGGTTTGTGGGGAGAAGAGCTCCTTGGTTCTGTCACATACATGTACATCCTTGCCTTAGGGGGTCATGGCTCATACTGGCCTATGATACTCAGAAGAGATGGCCCTGAAGAAGCTGTGACCGTGCTGAACTCCCTCCTGTCACCTGAACACTGGACTCCTACCCTTGAGGAACATCTTCTAGTATTCCTTGGGTCTACTCTTCCATGTCCCACTTTAGAAAAGGAAGATCTAGATGCAGCATATTAATCCATCCTCATATCCTTGCATTATTCAGCGGGGACTCCCCATATGTATCAGTTGTTTTAAACACTCCACTCCAGATTTAAACCCCAGGCTTGGGGAGCTACCAGAAACCACTTAAGTTTGGCTACATATGCTGTGTGAGATGTTGTATACTCAATGTTGTAGATAATGTAGTTTTGAGATGCACTACAGAGTACAGAATAACCAGCAGAGCCATTCACATTGCGGTACGGTAAGGACTTCAGAAAGTTCATTTTTAAAAATCATGCTTTACATATAAACAATACTATGAAAAAAGTACATAGAAATGGAATAAAGAAAAACATTTTAAATATGTTGTTCTTAGCTTTAACTACAATGTTCTCTCTGAATATTTCTGGAAAGATACTACCATAGACAATATCAAGGGAGAAATAATTCAAATTCATAGCTAACTCTTGCAGTTACATATGACAAGTCAGCAGCAGTTAAACAGACTTCCTTCCACTTGCCCCCTGCCCCTCATACACACACACACACACACACACACACACACACACACAGAGGACAGCATGCCTAAGACCTCAACATAGCTTAAGGGTAGCTGGTCCCTCTGAGGTCATGATTGGGGATCCCTCCTTGCAGACAAATGGAGAAGACTATCTGTGATGTACTGCTCCTGCCCTCACACTTGGCTAGAGGCAAGTTGAAAAGTTATCAGTAGATACCTGTGCTCCCAGAATACTTTTCCGTGTCCCACTTTAGAAAAGGAAGATCTAGATGCAGCATATTAATCCATCCTCATATCCTTGCATTATTCACACTTCCAAGGAACTCCTTCCAGAAACTTGGTATGGAACATGTAGTGCAATCTCTGTGAGTTACTTTGGGGCCCTTTCCAGCTCTCTCAAGGAAAGGGCCTCTGAGAGCGGTCCCCAGCCTGTCATCACTAATTCAGAGCACTGCAGTTAGCACCTTATTGCTAGAAGAGAGGGCCCCACTCCCCTATCCTGCTCTAGGCAAAGCTTCCCATCTGACCCTCATGAAAGGTGACCTTAAAGCCCACAGATGAGATTACAATAAATACTGTGTTGCTCAGCCAAATCATGAGCAGAAATGAAACTGCTGCAAAGGGTGAGCCCTTATATTTGCAGCAACTAAAGTTCCAATAAAGGGTACCTTGGGCTAAACGTCAATCAAGTTCAACAAAACAGTTGCGGGATAAGTAAAGAGAACTACAGATAACTCTTAGCATATACACATCCTTACCAAATTACAAGAAATAAACCAAACAGTCTGCTGAATGGGAAACCGGGAGGTCTAAAATCAAGACAACTTCAACTCCAAACACATACAACATCCCCCTGCAAGTGCTTCTAAAAGGGCTGTGATAGTGATGATGCTTTTTGTCCACTGAGTGATTCTCGTAGGTGAGCCCATTTAGTCTTTTCAACAAGCCTGGGAGGAAGGGACAGTTCTCATTTTACAGAGGAGGACAGACGCAAGGGAGTTCTGTGCCTGTCTCTATGCAGTAGGAGGGGCCACGTGCAAGCTCTAACCTCCATCTCTCTGTCAAGGCTCGTCTGAGTGCCTACCCACTGCCCAATGCTCACCCACTGCCCACTGCCTATCCACTGCCCACTGCCCACCCCCCACCCACTGCCCACCCACTGCTCGCCCACTGCCAACTGCCTTCCCACCGCCCATGGCCCACCCACTACTGACAGCCTGCCCACTGCCCACTGGCTGCCTGCTGTCCACCCACTTCCCACTGCCCACCCACTCACTGCCCACTGCTCTCCCACTGCCCACCCACTACCCAATGCCCATTTCCTGCCCACTCACTACCCACGGCTCTCCCACTGTCCATTCACTGTCAACTGCCCACTGTCCACCCACTGCCCACTGCCTGCCCACTGCCCATCCACCGCCCACTGCCGTTGAGTTGATTCTGACTCATAGCAACCCTGTAGGACAGAGCAGAACTACCCCATAGGGATTCGAAGGATGTAAATCTTTATGTAAGTAGACTGCTATACATCTTTCGCCCACGGAGTGGCTGGTACGTTCGAACTGCTGACCTTTTGGTTAGAATCTCAGTGCTTTAACCACTGCGCCACCAGGGCTCATGTCTGAATGCCTACAGGGATGGTACATTGCTGTCTATACTTCCAGTCCTAGGATGGTGCTTTCTCTTTTGGGTTTTTTTTTTTTTTTAACCCCTTCTTTTTATTGTGATAAATGCAACAAAACATTTGCCACTCCAACATTCTTCACATGCACAGTTCAGTGACATTAATTTATGTTCGTGTTGTGCAACCATGACCCTTACCCGTTTCCAAATTTTTCTATCACCATTAACAGAAGCTCAGTGTCATCTAAGCATTTGTGTTTTAGAAAGCCTTTTAGAAAACTTTCACATCCAGCTTATTTTAAAGGTAATAATTCAGATCAGAGGTGTCTAAGAATTGGAGACAGAATCTAACCGTCGTGGGTGAAAGCCGAACTGAGAGAGAGTCACGACTCTCCCAGCAGAGAGCACAGGAAGCTGACCTCACTGTTCAGAGCACTGAGGCCAGCTCTCAGGTAACTCACCAAAGTACGGTTCATTTGGGCACCCTTTCAACCGCACTCCCTTTGGGGTACACTCAATCAAAAAGTGCCGGACGAGTTCATTGGCCAAATCTCCAGCTGTGATGAGAGAGAAAAAAAAGCAAAATGTTTAGAATAAGAGAATGAGAGGAGCTGAAAGTGAAGGTGAGAATGACCAGCGGTGAGAGCACAGAGCTGCGTATGACAAGGCACCTGTTGCTGGCTCTGTCACTGCAGCCGGTGGGCTGGCAATACTCATTTAGAGATGGGAGCCAAGCGCAGGATGGCTGCGGAGGCACAGCGGGTGTGCAGCTAGAATCCCTGCAAGGGAGATGCTGGGATGGAGGCTCTCAACATTCTGCAATAACCCCCAGCAAAGGGAATTAGATACAAACTTGCACCTCCAGTTCCAAGGTGTTGTTAGCTGCTACTGAGTTGGCCCCCAACTCATAGCAACCCCGTACACAACGGAAGGAAACACTGCCCTGCCCTGCTCTATCTACACGATTAGTTGCAGACTGGACTATTGTGATCCAGAGAGTTTGCACTGGCTGACTTTCACAAGTAGATCCTCAGGCCTTTCTTCCTAGTCCATTTTAGCCTGGAAGCTCTGCTGAAGCCTGTTCAGCATCATAGCAACACACAAGCCTTTACTGAGTGAAGGCTGTGCATGAGGTGCATTGGCTGAGAATCGAACCTGGGAAGACCACATGGGTGGTGAGAATTCTACTGAACCACCACTGCCCCCACCCAGCTCCAACAGATGAAAAGAAGGGAACATAAAGTGATACATAAGAATGATCCACTGAAAAGAGCTTGAAGGATGGAAGTCTTCTGGTTACAATTTAGCCACAGGCGCCTTGGTAAATAAACAGCCCCAGAAAGAAAGCACTCAGTTATATGCACAGAATACAAAGCAGTATCTGTTCATGCCAGCACAGGAATGCCTAATGGTAGCAAAGTACAAACGATATAAACAGAAGAAAAAGGAATGCTTGCTCTACCCTAATAAATCCAACAATAACTCACTGTCTAGCACTGCCCCCGTGTGTTCGTCTGCATAATGCGGGCTTGACATCTGCCGTGGCAAGACCCCACTAGAGCTGAGTTGGTCCTAGCATCTTGCCCATCCCACCCACCCACTGCCGTCGAGTCAATTCCAACCCATAGGGACCCCGTAGGGTTTCCAAGGCTGTAAATCTCTATGGAAGCAGACTGCCACATCTTTCTCCCATGGAGCCACTGGTGGTTTTGAACCACTGACCTTTCGGTTAGCGGTCCGTCACTTTAACCATGGCACCCCCAGCACTCCTGTTTTGCCCGTAGGAGGCTCAAAAATGATGTTTATAAATGACAGTGACAAAAATAAAGAGTAAGTGTCAGCATCTAGCAGGGGCAGCAAAGCTTGCAGAAAAGGAAATGGTCAGGTTACAAAAAGGCTGTATTAAATAAAAATGGGGTGGGGGGAGATGTCACCATTCAGTTACAAGAAGAAAATTATCCATGGTTTCCAAACCACAGGAGATGCAAAGTTCAGGTCTGGAAGCCAGTTGTGAGAAACAGCTGGAGATCCATCTGCTTGGAGTTGTCTGGAGAACAGCTACACAGCTGAAGCTGCCCTGAATCCCAGCGTAGGAATGGTGACCAGGGATGGCGTGGTGACTCACTGTGGACATTCACCCGTCTGGTGAACTCTCCTCTCACATATATCTTTGAACTGTGAAATCCAAATGCCAAGTCCAGGGAGGGGAGGGGGGCTTGTGGTGAAAGGCAACATTTAATTCCAGGAAGTCTCCTATTCAAATATCCTGTATTTTGTTACCTTCCTCTTAAGATTGAGTCCAAAGTCTGTCTGAGAGGCAGGATGACACCTTCCTTCCTTAGAATGCTAAGGAGGGAAGGATATACAACCATCTGTATTCCCAAAAAGAAAATGAGTACAGGATTTTTTTCCCCCCTTTGTTTACAACTTTCAACTGAAACCAAGAAGCAAAGCAAAAAAGTGATAGCTGCCATCCACTTGGTCAACACATTAATTCCTCGTCTCTACAGACTTGCCAGGTGTTCTTGTCTTCAGCCTGTTTTTTCTTCTATAATGTTCATTCAGGATGTTTCCAAAGTTAAGGCCTGAATGCCTTAGGCAATGCCTCAACAATCAGGCCTACTTTAGCTTTTGTCTTAGTTATCTAGTGCTGCTATAACAGAAATAACACAAGTGGATGGCTTTAACAAATTTATTGTCTCACAGTCTAGGAGGCTACAGGTCCAAATTCAGAGTGCCAGCTCCAGGGGAAGGCGTTCTCTCTCTGTCAGCTCTGGGGAAAGGTCCTTGTTATCAATCTTCCCTGATCGAGGAGCTTCTCAGCACAGGGACCCAGGGTCCAAAGGATGCACTATTCTTCTGGCTCTTGTTTCTTGGTGGTATGAGGTCCCCATGTCTCTCTGCTCGCTCCTCTGTTTCTGTCTTTTGTATCTCAAAAGAGATTGATTTAGGACACAACCTAATCTTGTAGATTGAGTCCTGCCTCATTAACATAACTGCTGCTAATCCCACCTCATTAACATCATAGAGATAGGATTTATAACACATAGGAAGATCACATCAGATGACAAGATGGTGGACAATCACACCACACTGGGAATCATCGCCTAGCCAAGTTGACAGATATTTTGGGGGGACACAATTCAATCCATGACAGCTTTTAAGTGACAAAAGTCCATGTTTCCATTCAAAAATAGCAATTTGTAAGCTTCTTATGCTGGAATTCAGGGCACTCTAAGGCCCTATGTTTCAAAGCTTACCAGCCTCACCTCTCCTACACAAAACCAATTCCTCCCTTTACCTACAAGACACAGCTCAGTCTGCACAGGTGTTCAGAGTCTGTACCCTGACTGATCCCCGTGGTCCTTCCCCACCTCATCTCTCACCCCTTCTGTTCATGCAATTAACGGCTGACTTAGCCAAAACAAACTCATCTTTGTGTCCTGACAACACCTCAGTCATTCCTGAGGCTGGGTCGCTTGGCAACCAAATCTTTTTTCAAGGCCTAATTCAAAGGTGGTTTTCCTTAGGAAGCTTTAAGCGGAGGCTTCATCCAAGGATTTGGATAAAACCTTTCGGGTATTAGGCATGAACAGGAGTAAGGCAGGTGGGTGTCATTTTTTTTTTTTTTTTCATTAAACACAGTGAGTTCAAAACCTTCACTTATTCTATTTCCCCCATTCCTGATGAGGCAGGAAGCCCTAAAACCAAGTGGCCTGGTGACATCCCAGTCCATGATTTCTATTTTGGGGGAAAAGAGAGGGTAAAAGAATCCTTTCCTACTCCTTAGAGGTTCTGGCATAGTGGTAAAGAAAGATGAGAAAGGGTAGGATGAGATCAAAAGAATAAACCAAAAACCAAGGGGTCCACCAACAATAGGATGAATAAATAAATTACAGTATATTCATAGGATGGGACTACAAACAATGACAGAGAACACCAGCTACAAACACTCTTAAAAATACAATGAATGAATCTTAAAAACACAATGTTGAGGAAAACAAGTGAGTCACTAAAGAAAACATACATACCAGTTTTCTTATAGAAAGTTAAAAACAGGAAAAACTATAGTGTTTCAGGATTCATCTTTTGGTGGTTAATATAAAAAAGTTAACTGCATTTTTGCAGTGGTGTTGATAAGTAATTTGAACTATTTTACGTATACTGCAGGATAGAGCAAGAGAGTAAATATTTGATGTTGGTAGGAACCTGCGGTGTGATGGATTGCTTTTGTGTGGCCTTTTTTGCCATGGTCTTGTAACTCCCACCCAAGTGACTGGGCAGTACTGTGCAAATAGAGTAACTGTGGCCCACCAAGGGGTTGGTCCATTTTGCCATCCTGCTGGGCTTGAAATGAGCCACCCTAGAGACGGGAAGGAGAAGATCCCAACACCACCAAGGAAGAACAGCCAGGACTGGAAAGCATGTCCTTTGGACCCAGGATCCCTGTGCTGAGAGGCTCCTGGAACCAGGAGACTGAAAGAGAGACAGAGCTATAACCCTGAGAATGCCAAGAAGATGTGGCAGGAGAGACCAGCAGGCTTCCTGGCCCACTGAGTGAGAAAGCTGAGTGCCCGGTGCCTCTGAGGACTTACTGGCAGGGGCTAAAAGAGCTTTGTAACACTTGCCTGAGCAGGGCAGAGGCCTAGGGCCAGAGAGAGGTGTGTCTGCGAGCACAGCCAAAAAGAAGCTGTCCCAATGGAAGAACTGTATCCTGAGTTTTCCTGAGCCTGAATGGTAACCTGTTACTTTCCTTAAAAACCCTATAACCATGAGTATTGTCTGTAAGTTCTGTGTGGCCAATGCAATGAATTATCGAACCCAGCAGAGAAGTAGAGAGTGCCAAGGGAGGGTCGGCTGGTGTCAGAATTGGTAAAGATTGCCGAGAGAGGAGGCTTATCTGACCGCTGCCTCATAGGAATCAGCCTTGGGCTGTTGATCTTGATTCTCATTCTCCCTTGTGAAGTTAGAGGAGGTCAGACACTGCCCCCATGCCATTTTTACAGAACCAGACTTTTTTCTCTAAGTTGGATCTCCATGTTCTGTTCTACATTTTATCGAGTCCCTGGATGGTATAATTTGTTAAGCGCCCAACTACTAACTGAAAGGTTGGTGGTTCAAACCCGCCCAGAGGCACCTAGGAAAGAAGGCTTGGTGATCATCCTCTGAAAGGTCACAGCCTTGAAAACTCTATGGAGCAGTTTTACTGTGCAACACACAGGGTCACCCCGAGTCAGAACAGACTTGACAGTAACTGGTTTGATTTTGTTTGGTTACCTTGAGAAGGCTGTAATCTAGTGTCTCTGGGCTTAGATTACCATTGTTTTATATCAATGTAAAAAAAGTCTACTGGGTATAGCTGCAAGAAGTGTGTATATGGTATGCTGACTTTGTCGCTATGAGTCGGAACCGACTCGAGGGCACATAACAACAAGAACAAGCTGACTTTTATTTAAGAAAAAGGAGGAAACAACGCATGTTTGACTGTATTGATAGCAAATCAATGAAAAGATACACACGAATTTTTTATAAACAGTTACTGATGAAAAGTTGAGGGGTTAGGGAGGTTGATGGGTGTCATGGATTGAATTACATCCCCCTAAAAATGTGTCTATCAGTTTGGCTGGGCCATGATTCCCAATATTTTGTGGTTATCCTCCATTCTGTGATTGTAACTTTATGTTAAAGACGATTTGGGTGGGATTGTAACACCCTTTACCCAGGTCACATCCTGATCCAATGTAAAGGGAGTTTCCCTGGGGTGTGGCCTGTACCACCTTTTATCTTACAAGAGATAAAAGGAAAGGGAAGCAAACACACAGCTGGGGACCTCATACCACCAAAAAAGCAGCATTGGGAGCAGAGCGTGTCCTTTGGACCCGGGGTCCCTGCGCCTGAGAAGCTCTCAGACCAAGGGAGGACTGATGCATCACAAGAACCTTCGTCCAGAGCCAACAGAGAGAAAGCCTTCCCCTGGAGCCGGCGCCCTGAATTCAGATTTCTAGCCTACTGGACTGTGAGAGAATAAACTTCTCTTTGTTAAAGCCATCCACTTGTGGTATTTGTGTCACAGCAGCACTAGATGACTAAGACAACGGGCTAAAATTGAAAGCAAGATCTCTTAGTGGATTCTTTGTTCTATTTTGATTTTTGAACAATAGAATTATTATCTATTCAAAAAATAAGAAAATAATAAAAATAATTAACATTCTTTCTTGAACAAGGATGGTACTTAATAAAATATACCTGAAAAAAAAAATGCTAAAAAGAAAACCTTTGAGTATTGTTGTAACTCATGCATGAGCTTATTAGCATACAAATGAACAACCAACACCCCAAGAGATGAGGGTACAGGACCAGTGCCTGGGGAGCTACCTTTCTTGTTCATCTGCAAGACTGAAGGCGGGGGAGTGGCCACCTTCATGGCCAGGCCGTAGGCGCCGCGGAAGGAGTGGCTGTCTCGCACGATGAATGACCCAGGCTCCTTGTCCTTCAACATGGCAATGGCTAGAGGGGCGGGAGAGAAAGAAATGAGTTCTGCAGCGTTAGACAAAGGCTATCTCCATTTGTGACATCAAGAATGTCCTCTTCCACTCACTCCATGTGAGAACTGGAGTTTGATCCATCTGGTGGAGGAATAACTTGGAATGGAGTAGAGGAGCCCTGATGGAGGTGTTGTAGGTCACACAGCATTCACGGAGGTACCAGCTGTGAAGGAGGAGGGAAAAAGGACCACCCTTTCCTCAGCACCCACAGGGGCAGGCACTGTCCTGCCCACAGGGCCTCTTGGCACCCTGTGGAGTCAGTAGAGGTGGCCCCACCTCACAGTCTAGGAGGCCAAGGCTCCCCCGGTGTGACTAACGGGACCTGTCCAAGCAGACCCAGGTGTGGAGCAAGACTGGAATCTGAGCTGTCACACCATGCCTCTGCCCTCCCCACTCATGATGGTGTTTTTCTTAAGCTTATTTTAGTGCATGCACTGTTTCAAGAGGATAAAAGGAAAGAAGTTTCCAATCACAGTTTCTAAAAAGAGTGAGGATATACCCCAAAAGTTCCTGAGTGTTAAATACAAATTCCAAGACCCATCTCAGGGGCCCCGTGGCACCAGACCAGCACTCCAGACTGACCCCAGCCTATGGCTGCAGGACTTCTCTCCATGGCCCGGATCATTCAGGACTGATGGCTGAGCCCATGGCTCCCAGGGAAGTCTGGAGGGCACGCAGCTAACTATGACTGATGTTTAAAACAAGAAGAAAGGGAAACCTCCCCCTTCACGCTCAGAATCTGGCGCTCCCACGTCCTCGGCTCATGATTTTAGGAAGAAAGAGGGGCTGTGTTAGGGTAATGTGGACCACAAACTTGATGCTGCCCAGACCCAGGCCGGAGTTTCCTTAGATAACTGGAGTACATCTCAGAATTTTATTCACAGACTATCACTCTTTTTTATTTTTTGTGCTCCCTATATGATTTATTACATATATGGATATATATGCATGCACACACATACCCAATATACATATAGATACATGTAGTACAAACATATGTATACCCATACATGTACATACATACATATGTAACCACATACATTTTGTTTTTGGTTGTTGTTGTTGTTGCAAAATCATATATGTCTTATCTTTTCCCAAAAATGTCCTCTTGTGTATTTCTTAGTGGCATCATTTACCTTGGTCAAACTGTGCACACTTAATCCACATCCTGTGCTATCTTTGCCATCATCTAAAATAACAAGTGTCTACCATCTAGAGAGTGATTCCCCCTCACACCCATACCTATCCCTGGTAACCATCAATGAACACTGATCTCTGTATATATGTCTATTCTTGTCTTCTTATAAAAGTTTGATCATACAATATTTGTCCTTTAGTAACTGACTTATTTCACTGAGCATAATGTCCTCAAGATTCACTTATGTTATAATATGTTTTGAAAATTCAGCGTTATTCTTTATGGCTGTGTAGTATTCCATTGTTTGTATGTACCACGTTTTATTCATCCACTCACTGTTGTTGGGCACTTAGGTTGTTTCCATCTTTTAGCTATTGTGAATAATGCTTCAATGAACGTAGGTGTACATATGTCTGTTTGTGTCTCTTTTATTAGATCTCTAGAGTATATACCCAGGTGTGGGATTGATGGATCATAAGGTATTTCTATTTCTAGTTTCTTGAGGAAGTGCCATACTATTTTCCATAGTAGTTGTACCAATTTACAATCCCACCAGCAGTGGATAAGGGTTCTATTTGCCCCACATCCTCGCAAGCATTTGTTGTTTTCTTTCTTTTTTTTTTTTTTATCAGTACCATTTTAGCAGGGATGAGATGGTATCACATTGTAATTTTAATTTGCATCTCTCTAATGGCTAGTGACCACGGGCATTTTTTCATGTATTTGTTGGCCGCTTGAATGTCTTCTTTGGTGAAGTGTCTGTGCACATCCTTTGCCCATTTTTTAATTGGGTTGTTTATCTTTCTGTTGTTGAGTTGTTGAAGCTTTCTATATATTTTAGAGATAAGACTCTTATCAGATATGTCATTCCTAAAGATTTTTTCCCTATCTGTAGGTTGTCTTTTTGCTCTTTTGATAAGCATAAGTATTTAGTTTTTATGAGGTCCCAGTTATCTAATTTTTCCTCTGCTATTTGTGCATTTATACTTGTGTTCGATAATCTATTTCTGAAAGAAAAAAAAAAAAAAAAGGTCCCATAGTTTTGTCCCTATATTATCTTCCAGGAACTTTATAGCTTTAGCTTTAACATTTAGGTCTTTGATAAATTTTGAGTTAGTTTTTGTGTATGGTGTAAGGTATGGATCTTGTTTCATTTTTCTGAAAATGGATATCCAGTTTTGTCAGCACCATTTGTTAAAGAGACTGTTTCTTCCCCATTGACTGGACTTTGACCCCTTGTTGAAAATCGGTTGTCTGTAGATGAATGGATTTATTTCTGGGTTCTCAATTCTATTCCATTGGTCTATGTGTCTATCAACTGAACCAGTACCAGGCTGTTTTGATTACTGTGGCTGTATAGTATGTTTTGAGATCGAGAAGTGTGAGATCTTCTACTTTGTTCTCTTCTTCAATATTGCTTTGGCTCTTTGGAGCTTCTTTCCTTTTGATATAAAGCTGGTGATTAGTTTTACAGTTGCAGTAAAGAATGCTGTTGGAATTTGGACTGGGATTGCATCATATCTATAGATCACTTTGTGTAGTATTGATATTTTCACAATGTTAAGTCTACCAATCCATCAGCATGCAATGTTCTTCCATTTTATGTAGGTCTTTTTTAGTGTCTTGTAGTAATGTTTTATAATTTTCATTGTATAGGTCTTTTACATTCCTGGTTAGGTTCATTCATATGTATTTTATCCTTTCAGGGGCTACTGTAAATGGTACTGCTTTCTTGATTTCCTTTTTGGAGTTCTCCTTGTTAGTGCCGAGGAACTCTACTGATTTTTGTGTGTTGATCTTATACCCTGCAACCGTGCTAAATCCTTCTATTAGATCTAGTAACTTTCTTGTAGAATCTCTGGGATTTTCTATGTATAGAATCATGTCATCTGTGAGTAGAGACAGTTTTACTTTTTCCTTTCTGATTTGAATATACTTTACTTTCCCTTGCTTTATTGCTTTGGCTAGGACTTCAGTACAATACTGAATAAGAGTGGTGATAATGGGCATCCTTGTCTCATTCCTATTCTCAAGGGGATGGCTCTCAGTCTTTCTCCATTGAGAATAATACTGGCTGTTGGTTTTGCATATATGCCCTTAATTATGTTGAGGAATTTCCCTTTTATCCCTATTTTCCTGAAAGTTTTATCAGGAAAGGGTGTTGGACTTTATCAAATGACTTTTCTGCATCAATTAAGATGATTATATGATTCTTTTCCTTTGTTTCATTATCATCACTATTTACAAAAGAGAAAATTAGGGATTTAAAGTATAAAGTTACACAAAATTACAGCTGTGGAAGCACAGTCTTTTTTAATACCAATGGTTGTCTGCAGGAGATCAGCATATGGGATGCGACCATTAAATGGCAGGACACTCATGTTTCCTCCCATAAAAAACTCATGGTGTTCTCCACCACAGGCCTCCTACATGTTGCCAAGTCAGCCCAATCCACAGTTGTGGTAGCGGTTGGGCTATAAGATGAAACAAAGGGTTTCCTCCACCACTTTTTGGCAGCTCTGTGTCCTTGCCCCATGTGCACAATGAGGTGATGTGGGACAAGCTCAATACCCTCCTCCTGGCCACACAAAGGCCCGTAAACTGGATGTATGGAGGGAAGGCAGGAGAGGGCCAAATAGGGACAGATTTGGTTTGACCCCTGAAAAGGGTGCATGTCTGATGCTTGTGGTACTAAAACCAGAGCCTCTATGAGCCACTGCTGTCGTACCAAGTCCAAGATGGTAGCCCACGGCTCTGGGGAGAGGCAAGCCCTGGGATGGGGCAAGCCCCTGGTACCTTCCTCTGAAAATTGTTCTGGTCACACTGGTATTGGTGAAGGGGAGCCTCTAACCCTGCATGCTAGTATACTTTTCTCATAGCACATTTTCTAAATTTTTGGGAGCTAAACATGTATTATTTCTTTAAAGTAGGAAAAAAAAATTACATAAAAAAAATTCTCAACTGTTATATACCTTATCAGAGCTTTTTTGTTTGTTTGTTTTTTAAGTCATGATTTATTTTACTGTGATGAACAGAAGTGCCTTGCTCTCATGGGGCTCAGACTTTTGGTCAAATGGGGGTGCCACCAAGGAAACACCAGCCTTGCTCTGGCAGATTCTTTTCTCCAAGGCGAGGGCCCCTTGGGAAGCCCTGGCTGCTACACCCTGGGATAGGTTCCATCTGCCCAGTAAGTCAGGGCTGTGTGGGGCAAGGAAGACATGTCAGCAAAGGGAAGCTAGAGGATAATTTTAGACTCTTTAATTATTTTTTAAAGCAGAAATGAGTTGAGGAGCCCAATGTGCTCAGGTTGTAAGAACAAGCTTTTCTATATCCCACATGCCAAATGTTCAGCCTCAGCCTGGGCATCAGGTTCCCCTTTAAAGATGGTGGCAGGCAGTGGAGGGGAGGAAAGGGTACACATTCTCATCCCAACTCCTTCCCTTATAACTAATACTTTCAAAGACAGTTCAGAGAAACAAAAGCCTAAGAAAATATAAATGTAACAATAACACTGGTCTCTTCTTCCTGAGGTATTTTTATGTTCATCATAGAAAAATCCCAAGGAATTAATTTAGCAATAGTAATATGTGAAAAATTACACTCCAAAAGAGGCTATCTTATTTATTTTCTCCTGCATCTCGTAAGTAGCTACTTGAAATTTCATTGCAGCTTTTCTACAAGAAAGCACATCCCAAGAGTCACAACAAAATCAAGCAAAACCCAAGGGTGGCCTCCTGCTCTTTGGACAAGTCGGCACACCCAAGAGAACATGGCCTATCTGTGTACTGGTGTCTTCTATATAAAATGTCTAGAAAATGGAGGAAGTTAGGCTATTAGAGTCCAGTGGAAAACCTAACACTTAATAAAACATATTAGCCAATTTTAGACAGAGGCCACTCGAAGAAACATTTTTAAGTGTGTGGCTAAAACTAAAGGAACGATAACAAAAACTACCTTTTTCTGAGCATCTACTATGTGCCAGCAACCTGGTAGGTGCTTCCCACAAGTATCCTTCACAATGGCCCTAGAAGGCAGGCGTTATCATCTCTATTCTAGAGAGAAATTAAACGGTGACTGCAACCCAAATGCGTGCTTTGCGGTTGCAGCCGTTTGCTACAATATTGCTTTTGCAAATAGAATCAGAGCGACCAGGTTAACTAGAGGAGGGGGGGTCTGCACAGAATTTTCTAGAACATGGCACTTGAAGAACCAGACAGTCTGTTCAGAGGGGCAAAGAGCAGAGGGGCTCCAGCTTAAGGCCAAGATTAGGTTTCCTATGACAAGGGCAGGGGACTGAAAGGTGGCAAGGAGAACACAGCACCAAGCCACACCAGAGCCCATTAAACCGTGCGGAGTAGCATTTTCACAAAAGGCCAATTCAGGATAAGAAAAGTCTTTCCAGGGCATATTTTTCTTTCTTTTTTTTTTTTTCCATTTAAAATGACAAAAGTTTCATTGAGTTCACTGGAAGAAATGCACATTCTTACAACTTCTATTATCTGCTTAATTGAATAGAATATCAATGAGAAAATCTGACAGTGCTGTTTTTCAGTCACTAAACCCTTCACCTTCAGGCACTTTTGAGACACAATCAGAAGGAGATGCCTTGAAGGTTTTTCCTCCTCAAGTTAGAATAATGGGCACAGTGTAGTCATACGGGTTTCAGGCTGGTAGTGGCGGCTCGTCCATCCTCGCTGCTTTAATCATTTCCTCCCTGTCGCAAACCCAGCATCCCCACACAGCCCGAGGTATGAGTGTCACTTTTCAGGTGTCGGATCCCAGTCCTCCAGGCATGGCCTTGCCCTGGTTCCACATCCTCCACTCTGCGGTGAGCCCAAGAGCAAGGAGCTCTGCCTGCCCCCAAAGCCATTTCCAGAGACCAACCCCATGCTGCTGTGTCAAACCCTCTAGTGGGGACTACAACCTCCAGGGGCAGAGACCAGCAGGGTGTGCGGACTGAAGGAATTCAACTGAACAAATGAATGCTGATCACCCAAGAGGCTGCCACCCAAGAGGGTCTGCCACTCTGAGCAGATTATTGGCCTCATTTTCTGACACCTCTTCTAGTCATGTTTTGGTAAAAAGTGACATGTGATCTAGTTGCTCGAAAATACTAATAATTTCAAATTTATAAAAATTGCCCTTTGGATGAACCAAGCACATAGATAATCTGTCTAGTTTGCATTTGAAGCACTAGATTAATTCTACAACCAGGTCTTATTATCATTATCAGTATTCCCCTTTCCTCCATCCCCATCCCCATGTAACCACTAATCTTCTTTTGTCTTGATGCATTTGCCTACCTTAGACATTTCATGTAAGTGGGACCATGCAATATTTGTCCTTTTGCATCTGACTTACTTCACTTAACCTAACGTTACAGGGTCAGCAGAAAAGGGGAAGACCCTGAACGAGATGGATTGACACAGTGGCTGCAACAATGGGCTCAAGCATAACAACGATTGTGAGCGTGATGCAGGACTGGGCAGTGTTTTGTTCTGTTGTACACAGGGTCGCTATGAGTCGGAACCAACTTGACAGCACCTAACAATGACAACAACTTTCCAAGGTTCATCTATGTGGTGGCATGTATCAGAACTCAATTTTTCTAGATATTATGACTGTGCACTTGTCTTCCGTATTTGGACTAATGAAGGTATGCAGATGTAATGAAGTCACTGACTTCATACAGCAGGGCAGTTAAAAGGGAGCCATCTCTCATTCCTTTTTCTGACCCTGTCCTTTGTGGCATAGGATGGCAGAGTACCGGGATATCCACCGTGGTGCCAGACGAGCGGGTTCCTCTGAACGATCAGAAGTTGTGTGGCGGCAACGCTGGCAAAGCTTCTGGCTGGTGGAAGCAGCCAAAAATGACACACCACAGGCTGGAATCTTATGGCTGTGCCTTGCTCCCTCTCCGACGCCCTCATTAGCACTGAGTTCTTCCCACAAAAATTTAAAGATCATAGCATATCCCCCCTGGAGGCATGTCATCAAGTGTAGACCTTGCTCTAATTCAATCCATACTTGAAGGGATGGTTCTCAGACGCTCCCACACCCAGGATTCTGCCTCACACAAGGAATCTAAGTGCTCAGCACAACAGATGTCCAAGGAAACTGGATTTCCTGACCTACCTTGTTCTCGCGAAATATCTGGCTTGTACCAGTACTTGGATGTGTCTTGGACAAATTTCACTGTCACAAGTTTATCGCCTGGATTATCTGCAAAACACAATTTAAAAGGAGTAACTTGAAGGGTATTATTTATTGCAGCCTCTCACCTCTCATTAACCTAGTTCAAATTCCAGTCCCTGGGACAAGGGCAGAGCGCTATAAGAGGAAACTATGCTATGTCTGAAATGACTGTCTTGGCAGAGGTAGACAGCTGTTTCAATAATACAAACAAATACAACATGATACTCTGATTAGGACTTTGCAATACACTTCAAAATACATAGATATGAAGCAAATAGAGCAAGATTGGTGTTTAATCAGTGTATCTTATTATTTCTTATATATTTGAAATACTGCATGATTAAATCTTAAATGAATTCATTTAATTAAAAAAAAAAGTTATTTTTAGGAAGAAACAAAAATAGAGCCCCCGCCAAAGTCTGCATTATCTACTGTTAGAATGGATCTAACTTGGATAAATTCAGAATTAAAATTAATAAGAAGTAATGGATCAATATTTAGCTTGTGGGCTAGCAAGATGGCAAAGGTAGAATTCATCCAAATATCCCTCAAGCCCCTTTACAGTTCTGACTTTTTCTTTCACGGCTATCAACCCAGCAGTAGAGACTGCGCTCTTGTGGTGGCTTGCTGTCCAGTCCAACCTATACATTCAGGGACCATTTTCTGAGCAAGCAAATATAGAAGAGGCTCCTGCACATGTGGAAACACACCTACCTGGCAAAGGGGATGCTGCTTCTGAAGCTTTGGAGAAGTCCGGAAGGACGTTTGGGAAGGGGATGCTGATGGTGCTCCCGCTGTGGGGGCTGGAGAAGCCGCTGGAGGAAGGGGAGACGGAGCCAAAGGAGCGGTCTCCCTCTGAGGCTCGCTTCTTCTCAGGAAGAGGCGGCTGCCCAGGCAGGGTCATCCCTTGACCCTGCAAGACCGGGCTGTGTTGGCCACTGTGTCCAGGCGCGACTGTAAGGAAGTGATGGGGCAGGAAGCCATTGTCGACCGCCCCTGGGGCAGTCAGCGGGGCACCGGGGGCTGGGGAGGCTCCGTGGGAATTGGCTAGCAGGGTTCCTGCGGTCTCCCCGGGTGGAAGGCCACTTCCCACAGCAGCTCCGCTGAAGCTCAGGAAGGCTGGGCCACTCTGGGTGGCCAGAGCTTCTGGCAGTCGCTCCGCCAGGGAGAGCTCATGGCTGTTGAAAGAGCCCTGGAGCTCCGAAGGTGGGAAATGAGGCAGCGCTGGGGAGTCCTTCATGGGGCCGGAGAACTCTGAGGTGCCAAGGAGAGCCCCTGCTGGCTGGCTGCTCCCCAACATGGAAACCGTGCATTTAGGGCTAGTTTCTAACCACTGGTGTTCTGCAGAGGAAGGGCTGTGTGAAAGAGAAGCAAACCACAGGAGAAGGCAAGGTCAACTATGAGGTTCCTCAAAATAAGGGACTGTTACTTAGGGCTGTGAGGACAGGAACGAGGGTTCCTGGGGACTGAGACCACCGTGTATCACGTGAGGTATTTCCCAAAGAATGGAATATGTATACTAACCCTCTACAGTCTAAGGTAGAATCTCCCTTTGATGATTCCACATTCTGGCCCTTCCAGCCTCACATTCCACCACTTACCCTAGATTCTTGCTCCCACAGCCCCAGGGACCACCCACCTCATTCCAGCCTCCCCGTCTACGCACAAACTCTTGTGCTGCTTCCCCCTCCTTCAGTGTATTCTCCACCCTTGCTCTTCACCGGGCAAAATGCCCCGCTTTCTTAAAGGCCAAGTCCAAATCTGTCCCCACCTTTGAGGCCCTACCAGCCCTTTATCCAGCACCCCAGTCTCCGTACATGTGCATACACAGGGTGACTGGTGATGTCCTCCTCTCTGGTCCCACAACCCTGGGCACATATGTCATCTACAGCACCGTCACCGCATTGGGGCCTTTATTATCTGTCTGCCTCTCCTCTCAGGACAAATGCTCCTCCAGGTAGAAACCTCATCTCCCCATTTTCTTCATCTCCCTTTGATGCCTAACATGGGTGCCTGACACACAGTCCATTTTCAACAGATATTTGCTGGCGAAGCAGCTAATCAAGGGATACCACCAATGGTATCGAGATTACCATACATTTAGGAATACAGAAAGACAGCTAAGTAAATGCCACATCATGTACACATATTCCCATATTTCATTAGCAAGCCCTTCCTGGGCACATATCCTATGTGTGTGTGTGCCAATTCCTTAAATGAAACTGTAAAAAACAAATAAGAAAGGAGCTAGAATTCAGGAAGTTAACTAGGGAGGCAATGTGCCCATAGACAAATAAAGAACAAATAAACGTATTCCTACTCTGGGCAAGGGGGTGGCACCACATAAAAATTGCTCAAAGGCTGTCTCTTTGTAACACAGGAACAGGAAATTCTACACTGTCCGTGGCCCACTTCCCTTCCCTCTCCCAATCCCACAGAAATCACTATTCCTACACTTCCCTTCTATTTCCTCTGAGTTCCTATGCTTTCCCATATGTCAGCACATACACCATGTCCCTGTGAGCCAGCATCATCTTGCCTATATGCCTCAAACCCTGTCCCCTGCCCCAACCATCACACCAATCTGTAGCCCTGCTAGAGAAAAGGCCTGGCCTGGCCCCACCGCAAACTCGGCCCAGCTGTGCGGTGATGCAATACTTTTATGGATCCTCATTCCTTAATGTTCCAAATCCCAGTCACCTCAGAAGCTCAGGCGAGCCTCATTTTTCCACTGGAACTCGGACTCCGAAACCATGCCCATCCCTACAGCACTCTGTCTCCTAACAGTCAGGGAAGTGAAAACTGCATTTATTTTATTTTCTGCAGAATCACTTCTTTCCATTCACAAGGGTAGCCCTGGATCATTAGGACAGCAACTCCCCATTTTCCCGTTGTCCTGGATGGCACACTGGGCCTTTTAGAGGCATGTGTGTTACGTTTAAAGATCCATCTTCTTACCTCTCTCTCCGCTGGATGGGACTGTTGCTTGAAATTGTGCAGGAAGACGTAAAAGCCTGCTGAAGGGAGGGTGTGGTCGGCATGTCAGCCCAAAGTACTGCAGGTTCCGGCCCGGTGGGGCGCTCTGACATCCCCACGGAGTGATTCAGAACCTCAGGGCGGCCACGGGGGTCTGCAGTGAGAGAAATACAGACAGACAGACCTTGGTTAAAGCATTTGACGGGTTATTATCTTAGAGTGGTTAATGTGTTAACCCAGAGGCACCTCAGAAGAAAGTCCTGGAAATTTACTTCGGAGAAATCAGCCATTGAAAACCCTAAGGTGTGTAATTCTACTCTGACACATATGGAGTCGTCATGAGTTGGAACTGATTCAACGGCAACTGGTCCTGGTGTAAGGAATGATGCTGAGTCCTGAAAGCTTTATGTCGTCCGTGTCTACACTAAGCAAAGGGGCTGAACCCATTGGTTGTGTCCACCAAATGCAGATGTACTCTTGCCCTCACTGTTTCCAAAACGGAAGGTTCCTAACTTCAATTCCCACACGCAGTTCTCAACAAATTACCGTGAGCTGATCAACGCCAATACTGTGAATCTGGCTGGGATGCCTGTGAGGATAAGGAAAAGAAACGCTCAACACGCGTCATGTTTATTGAGCCGGTCTTCTCACGGTCACCAAGTAAAAACGCCGTGACTCTTATTCACCTATCCTGTGTATGATGTAGTCCATTTCTCACTTAGAAAGTGCGAGGCCTTCTCTCTGCAAAGCAGCAGGATGCGTGACCAACAGGGAGGTTCTTCACCAAAATGACGTACCTTCTGTGAAGGGCAGCCCCTGCTTACCACATGGCACTTCCTGTTAGCACAACCTGCCACCTGTAGGCACCACCACACCCACAGAGGAAGAGGAGGTCTTGCCTACCTGACATAACATCACCTGGAAAACGTGTACCAGAGGGAACGAAAGCACCACATACTCCGTGGAATTCTACTAATCCCATCTATGAAATGTCTGCTTTGCTGTGGCCCAACATTATACCCTGCCCTTTTTATTTTTTCAATTCAATTTTGTTTCTTTTTTTTGACTAACTAGGCTTTAAGAACTGAGCAAATCTATCACGGTCGATAAAACAATGCTACGAGAAGTACAAGTTATTTTTGCTTTCTGCTTTAGAACATGGGGGCATTGATAAGAGAATAATGAAGTAAAAGCAAAAAAAAAAAAAAGGTTTTCCACATTACTCATGTTATTCAACTCCTGGGATGAGGACATCAAAAGTTAGACATTTTCCAAAGCTTTTACTTTTACCTCAACTTGCAAGATTATCTCCTAGCAGGCTTTCAATAAATGTTATTTTTAATTATGCTGAACAATGGCTACTTCTTCTCTTCAGTGAAAATCTATAATGAAATTCAACACCAGCATTACACTCATTGTAGAAATGAGTAGTTCCATTTACTAAGAATACTTGGAAAACAATTATCAATAGCATACGTGAACTCTGAGGAATAAGACGTCTAGAAGTTTGTATTAAATCCAAGTGTCAACAGGCACTCAGCTGTGGATTATCCAGATCAGCCAGGAAATGAGACCTACAATAGCACAAGCAGACCACTGACCACTTGACTCCTAAGACTGCTCAAACAGGATGCAATTTTTAACGTCCTTCAGAAATGGATCCCTCTTCAAACTGTGCACTATGAATTCACAAACAGGATTATTAAAATGATTACACTCTGTTCCACTGAGGTAAACATCCAACAGCTCCTCCAAAAAAGAAAGAAAATTCTAAAAACTACCACCAAATATGGAGTGTGAAGCATTTTGATAAAAATTAATGTTTAATTTTTTTTAAATCTAGCAGTATTTTTTTCTGATTAAACGTCATAGATTTCTTAGATATCACTCAGCACATAAAATGTGCGAAGTTTTTAGTTACTAAAGCAATAACATTCCTAAATTATCTAATAGATTTTAGTAAGGAAAACTGGACTTAAAAAAAAAAGGTTTATATTGTAAAGTATAACAGACCTACAAAAAAAGTCACATATTTAAAGTGTATAATTTGATAAGTTTTGGCGTATATAAACACAATTAAACTGTTACCACAATCAAGATAAACTTATCTATCACCACCCACAGGTCCTGGGTGCAACTGGTTTGCAATCAGCTGCTAACCTAAAGGTTGCCAGTTGGAACCCACCCAGTGGCTCCACAGAAGAAAAGCCTGGCAATCTGCTTCCATAAAGATTACAGCGAGAAACACCCCTATGGAGGAGTTCTACTCTGTAACACACGGGGTCACCTTGAGTTGGAAT